ATGTATATGAAATTTTCAAATAAATTTTGTTAGCCCCATTTGCAGAGTAATCAAAAAAGCCAAACAATAATTTCCATAACAGTCAGAATAGATAAAAGAAACAACAAAAATCTTGCCAGAAATGATTAGTACATAAGCAGGACCAATATAGGTGAGAAATATCCTCTTTCTGACATGAACAGTTAACATCAATGACTTTTTTAAAACATCGTACAAGAAAAGTTATGGTGGGGTAAAAACGACGAATGACTTTAAAAATATATTTCCTTTACTTTGTTGGTAATGTCCAACTTTTCTTCCACTTCAGGTCTCGGTATAAATTATTCCAGTAAGCAACGTCACGGTTGTCTTTCTTGTTTTTGGCGGGGACACAGATCTGTTCAACAGAGGAAACCGCAGGATCCAGCGGTAGAGGGGTCAGAACACCAGCAGGGATGGCGTGAAACACTGTGGCATAGTCCTTTTGGTGGAACAGGAATATAGAACTACAAGTCCCAGGGAGAGCGTCGCCTGTGTTTCGTCATCTAACGTCGACTCGTTCTGTTGACGTCGTGTGCGGCCGCCGGGAGAAGTTTGAAAATAAACGTGAAAGTTTTTTTCTCGTGAAACGTTGAGTGTCGGCGCGGTTCGAGCTGCTGCTGTGAGGCTGAGCTGTGAGAGTTTGTACCGAGGAGGGAGCGGAGCGCAGAGGAAGCTGCTACTCAGGTGAGTGACGTGCGAAACTCAGAGAAGCTAGCTGTGTCCGACATGCGGCTGCCGCACAGCGCCGCTTCCAGTGCGCTCAGAGGGGCTTGGCGCCTTATCTCACCGCGGTGGGACCCGGAGGGAGGGACAGGGTGACGGGGGGAGGGCAGTCGGACAAAAATAAAATAAACAAAAAGATGCGAGTCGAGTTAGAGCGAGTTAGCCAAGTTTGCTAACTGCTAGCCGGGCTGAGCTTACCCTCTAACCTCTGAGCCCGGTATCCGTGCAGAGGCCACCTGTTGGTGCACAGGTGTTTCCAGCTGTCACAGCTGTGTTTGTGTGTGAAGAAGCCTCCCGTCATGCCTCAGCGCAGAACCTCTCTGAGACGGCGGCTGGTGAGTTACAAAGCCTGCCGTTGTTGGTCGGACAGCAGCAGCTTCGACTGTGCTTACAGCGCTCAAAGTGCGGTTTGACCAACAACACGTATCGTAGCAAACATAACATCTCTGGATTTTTCCGCAGAATGAGGCTTTTTAAATGACCCGAGTGCCTCCTACGATATCAGTTTACATACACGTTTTGCTTGAAAAATAATATTTAAAAAACATTTGAAATGAAATTAAAAGCAGCAACTTCCTAACGGCTCTTTCAACACAATCTTTGAAGGTGTTGTACCTCAGTATTTGAACAAGCACCGAGTGGATTTGATGACAGAAGAAGTTAGGAAGTTTGAAAAAGTCCTAAAAAAGTTATTTTTTACTTGTCTTTGTTATAATTTATATCAGAACTCTTCATAATTTAAAAAAATATGTCATAAAGATGCATGCTGGCTCATGTTCAGCACAATTAGGACTTAAAAAACAATTCAGGATTTTGCATACTCGTACAGTTTAATCAGAAAAGGCATTAGCGGGTTTTTAAGTAAGTAAGGCTTATTTATATGCTGCTTCTCAAGTACAAAACTCACAAGTGCTTCACAATACAGAACACATTCAGCAGTTAATATGGTAGGAAAACTCAATAAAGTCCACAGAGCTTATGTCCAATGGAAGCAAGTTCCACAACCACAAAACTGCTCTCCTTTTGTCTTTAGCTGGACCTTTGTGCAGCCTCCGAGCGTTAATCGTCTGACTTCAGACATTTAAACCACATGGATGGTTTTAGTAACTCACTGCTATATGGAGGCTTCTGACCATGGAGGACACATCACCAGGATTTTAAACCGAACATTAAACTTTATGGGGAGCTGGTGTAAGGAAGACAGACTTTTATTTCATGTGAACCAAACCAGGCCATAAACAGATATTATTCTAGTCTTTTCAATTAAATTAAATAGAATTTTGTATTTTTATCCACTCACACTTTCATCCATACCCCAAAGTAAAATCAGCAGGATTTTAATCAGTTTCTGTTGTTTGGGTTTAATTTAGTTTAAAGTCACATGCTTGTGGTTTTAATTAAATGTGATCCAGTTTTGCTCACTTGTTGAAGTCACACTCCACAGTTCCACTTTAAATCAATGCTATTAAGGCGTCTCAGCATCGACAAACTGCTGGAGACACTTTTGGTCCATGTTGACACGACGGCGTCACACGGCTGCTGCAGAGTTTTGTGTTTTTATCCTGCTGGAATCAGCCATCAGAAGATGGCACACTGTGGTCATAAGGGGATGCACATGATCAGCAACATTACTCAGATGACCTTCATACCATCACAGCACCAGCCTGAAGTGTCTATGATGAATAAAACTGCACAAAAGTATTTTTCTCTTTAACTTTAGCTCCACATCTAATACAGCACTGAATGATCTGCCTCTTCCTCTCCTCCTCCTCTTCCTCTCTTCCAGGCAGCAATGTCTTCTGCAGACGAAGAGCAATCGGCCGCCATCGCGGCCGCCTTGACGTCTGCGTTATCGAGTGCCGTGTCAGCTGCCTTGGCGGTTGCCATGGCTGTTGATTCAAAGGCGGATCTCTCAGCAATGCTCGACGAATGGGAAGAAGCACAGAGAGGCCCCACAGAGCAGCTGGTGTCCGTCTTAAACAGGTTTTCTTTTTTAAGCTTTTAGCGACGCAGATGACGTGTGACGTCAGAGCCTCTCAGTCTGTGGGTCCATCTAGAGTAGAAACTCGTCTCATCAGTGTGTTTTCTGCAGAATATCGGAGCTGATTGAGAAAGAGACGGGAGAGTATCACAAAGCAGACCCGGATCCGTTTGATGACCGTCATCCAGGTGAGTCCTGGACCCTCTGGCCTCTATGTTGCATGTTTTTCACACTCGGTTCTGTAAAATGATTTCATCAACCAATCATTCAAATTGTTCAGACTTTTGTGACTCGTGTCCAACGTTGCAGGACGGGCGGACCCTGACTGCATGCTGGGACAACTCCTGAAGATGCTCTTTATGAACGATGACTTCACTAACGCAGTAAGGGCTGCTGCTTGTTTTTGTCCTCTTGTAAAGCAAATGATGGAGTGTGGTTCCAAGGGTGCGCAGTCAGCTGGGGCAGCCTTATCAGGCTTCATGCTTTGAGTACAGAAGCTCCAACCAGCAGCCATTTAAGCCTTTAGCTGGTGCCAGGATCGTATGGTATTGAATCTTTATTTTGAACATGTTAAAATAGTATAACAACAACAATAACAGAGGAAAAATGAGACAAACAAACAAAGCAAAAGCACTTTGTCTTCCTGTTTATGCCCTGCTCATCAGAAAATCTTCATTACAATTTGTTACATGTATTATTTATTTATTTATTATTATTTTTTATAACCCCAGTAACACGTCAAAAGATATACACATTTACATATATATTGTCATGAACTGGCTGTGTGGAGTTAGATGACGACCCAAACGCAAGCTCACAAAGGCAGGAATGAACTCAAAACACAGCTTTATTGCTGGAGAGAAAAAACATACAAACTAAACTGGAAACTATAACATTATACGGAGAAACACACGGCCATGGATGAGGGAGAGCACGACACAGAACTGACATAAATACACAGAGGGTTAACGAGGGCAGTGGGAGCACACGGGGACACAGCTGACACAGATAATCGTAACGAGACAGGGCAGGAGTGAACACAACATGACGCATACTGACGAGAGACTGTCAAAGTAAAACAGGAAGTACACAGAGGTTCAGACAGGAGGAGAGAGAGAGCACAGACATAACGGGCTGAGGCAAACATTGAATAAAACACAAGGAGGGGAGACGAGGGCTCACAGATACACAGAGGGATACACAGAGGGGCACACAGGGGGTAAAAGTCACAAATCAAGGAACAACTTAACAGAACAACCTAGAAACCAGGGCATAAATAAAGAACAAAACACACGAAAACTAAGAATACTGGGCCAGGATCATGACATATATATATTTATATAAGCATACTTGTGCACACACACATACACATCATTATTGTGAAAGTAGTGGTGAGAACGCCTGATCAGAGCCCCGCCTCCTCCCTGTACTTTGCAAAAACTGTATTTTTGAACCGCTGTTTAAACTGAGGCATGCTGGGACATTGCTTCAGTTCTTCACTTTGTTCCACAGCTTCACGCCACGCACACACACACACACACACACACACACACACACAGACACACACACAGGTGCAGAAAGTTTTCAGTGTTGTTTGATACAGAGATGTTTTAAATTTAGTTCCCTCTTCAAACTGTATCTCCGTTTTGTGTGTTGCTTTATACATAATTTATACAAGATACCCC